ATATATATATATATATATATATATAATCTGAAAATGTTTGTAAAAAGAGCACTGTCTTTTATGCAAAAGAAGGTGCTTTTTTATTTCTCCATCATATATGTGGGTTAGAAATACATCCACCACGACATATATGTAACAATATCGATTGACAACAGATTTAAAAGTTTAAAATGATCTTTCTCTCAGAAGCTACTGTAAAAACACAACAGAAAAGAATGGTTGATTAGTGCAATCGATTTCTGAGACAAAATTTCTTTGACAAAATAATGACTTGACCGAATGATCATATTGCTGCACGTATGACCATCATAATACAAAATCTATTAAAAAAATTACCACAGTTTTGAGCCACAAATTCTTGACCAGAGTGCGCCCTTCCTTTGCCTTTACGTTTGATACTGTAGGGGTAGCAGGTTGAGGCTGTGGCACTAACTTCACAGGTGTGTTTGGTAGAACATCTATTAAGAACTTTAAAAACCATAAAAAAACATGTTTTATTTGTACACAAATGACAGTGAAATGCAATATAATGTGTGTCAATATATAATAGCATATATAATAAGTGAAAAAAAAGGATGACAGACCTGTTCACTGTATAATACATTAGACTTCTCAGTCATATACATAAACTGGATGCAATACTTGTCAACACGCTCCGGTATCATTTTGTCCCTATAATCATGAATGGTAATAATTTAGGAGACATACCAGAATGCAATATCAGAGTAAATGTTTAAAGTAAAACCGTTAAAACAGTAAAAAACTGCAATGTATGGTACAAAGCTATGGTATGCAACTTGTCAGTGGTAAAACTCATTAGGGATTGCAAAAAGTTATTAGAACAGCTTACATCATCTCCTACAGTGACTCTGTGATCACTAAACTCAGGAGTTAAAAGGAGAACTATGGGGGTAAGTGTTTTTCCCCATAGTTCTCCTCAGGGTCACAGGAGGACATATACTAGCGTCCTTCCGTGACCCAAAGCTCAGTACATTGCGAGCTACAGCTCGCGGTATACTGAGACTGTCGTAGCCGGGACAGATCCCGACATTACTGTCGAGATCCACCCAGCTGCGTGAGAGCTGGCTCTGCCTATCTAGAGGCAGAGCCAGCTGTACCCTCCACCGTCCGTTCCGCCAGTCAGCGCTGGAGGATCGGAGAGGGGAGAATCCCTGCAGGGAACGGTGACTGACAGTCACGGCTCTCTGCAGGGAGATGATCTGAAAGTGAGCGAGCGGCAGTATGTGTTTGCTCACTCCCCGATCTATTGAGCCGACATGTGACAGTTTCATTGTCACACGTCGGCTTGAACTATGAGGTGGGTGAAAATCACTCACCTCATAGTTCTCCTTTAAATCTTAAAAATGCATTCAAATACATTATTAACAAACATGTATCTTATTTGTGTCGCTCAACTGTAGATCCTCAAATCATCTGTAGCCATACATTGTTAGATTTTCGTTCTAGAGGTTTTGTTTCTGGCATGAGCCCTCATTTGATTATACCTAGACATCCCCCATCAAGCATTGTCAAATGTCGTTTGGAAATCGGTCATTAGCCATACTAACCAACCAATTTTTGACGAACGATGTGTGCAGACACTGTCCTTCCTTCTGGAGGGTGGCTACTTTACAACACACATGGGAACTATGGGGAACAAACTCACTCCTGTGATGGTCAACCACCTCAGTACAAATTACTCAACTAAACATGAGATTGTAGTCGATCACAGGAGTGAGCTTGGGACGGTGACTACTTTACAATACACACGGGGACCATGGGGAACAAAAGTAGCCACCCTCCAGAAGGAAGGACCTAGTCAGCGCCAATTCAGAGATGATTTGAGGATCTACAGCCGGGTGATACATAAATAAGATACATTTATGTTAATAGTTAGGGTACTTTAATGCTTTCAAGATTTAACTCCTGAGTTCAATGTCACTTTAAAGAACTACAGTTTTTTTTTAAATTAACCAATGCAGTGGGGCTACCCCTGCACTGCAAGGTTAACTGCTCATTTTGGTCTATGGGCAAAAACAAAGAGGATACACTCACCTGATCCTCGGTCCTGCTGCAGTGACCGTTCTGCGTCCTCATGTCTAATGGACTTGCATCAGACATGGCGATGGCACAGGTTCTTACACCACTAGAGCTTGGGGAGAAAGGACTGCGGGGACCAGTCTAGCAGCCAGGCAGGACCAATGATAAGGCAAGTATATTTTCTTTTTTTCATCCCTAGATCAAAATGAGCACTTAATGAGTGGTGCTACCCCCGCACTGCAAGAGTTTATTTAAAAGAATCCTGGATTTCCTCTTTAAAACTAACCAACAATTACCAGCAGGACAACTATGGGAGAAGAAAAACCTGGTACAGAAGAAAAGGAAAAACAACCAAGATGACAGAGGATGCTACACACCTGCAGATTGGCAATAGGGTCCTGATTCTAATGTTAACTGTCGAGTAAGGGGCCAATTGGCTTTAACAGGGTTTATTAAATAAGAATTACCCAAATTAAAACCCTTTGATTCACCAACAGAAGAAAGCTGGCTAACAGGGGTCTGATGCTAATGAACTTGGTGACTGGTGGCTTTTACCTACTGAGGCAGAGGGAAATATTGATCTCAGGTGGACTGAGGTATGAAAGCAGCGGGAATAGACCACAAAGCATTCCACCAGGCCACTGTGCAGGTCCGCACACAGGAACTCTGGATAATCCACTCCCTGCTACTAGAGTGACTCTTAACAGTTGTAGAAAACTTGCAAGATTCTTATTCATCTTAATGATATA